TGCTTTTACAAAAAGAATTTTGAAATAATAATAATATTTTGTATTTTTAAAAAATTGTTTAAATGAAGCTTCCGAGTACACTTTTTACATCTCACATCTTTAAAAATGTAATTTTGGCAACAGTTTTCCTGTCTTATTGATGTTGATAGATTTTTGATGAAATCGCATCATTTTGAATAGTTTCATTCTTTTAGAAATATGGGTTTGGCAACAAATTTTCATCGTACTATTTCTTATGTCACTGTTTTTAAGAGATTGTCATTGTCATTTATATATATATATATAATACATTTCTATTGATTTTTTTTTACAAACTTGTTCTGCAGAGTAAAATTCTGCTCGGAATTTTATGTTTTTTGAGTTGCTTTCATGTTGTTTTTTGCTTATTTCGCTGTTTGTAAGATATTGAAAAGTTTTGCATGATTTTTTTTTCATCAACGGAAAGTTGGTTAATTTTATTAGGATAATTAATATTTGTATAAAGGGATATAGCTTATTTCATTGCAATTTTTTTTCTCTTGAAAATATAAGATAAAATATCATTAATTATACTTTGCTTTTCAGAATTTTTGTTTTTTGTATTCTTTTATGTTATTTATTGCTCATTTCACTGTTTTTAAGCTATTGAAAAGTTTTGAGCGATTTTTTTAGGAAACAAAGTTCTTAACCTCCTTTTATACCATTTGAGTTTATAAGATTTTGCACAGGGAAGTTGGTTAATTTATTTATTTAGGATAATTAATATTTGGTATTAAGGGATATAGCTTATTTCATTGTAATTTTTTTTCTCTTGAAAAAATATAAGATAAAATAATTAATTATACTTTTTGCTTTTCAGAATTTTGTTTTTTGTATTCTTTTATGTATTTATTGCACATTTCACTGTTTTAAGCTATTGAAAAGTTTTGAGCGATTTTTAGGAGGAAACAATGTTCTAACGTCCTTTATACCATTTGAGTTCTTAAGATTTTGCAAGGGAAGTTGGTTAATTTATTTATTAGGATAATTCATATTTGTATTAAGGGATATGCTTATTTCATTGTAATTTTTTTCTCTTGAAAATATAAGATAAAATATCATTAATTATACTTTGCTTTTCAGAATTTTGGTTTTTTGTGTTCTTTTATATTATTTATTGCTCATTTCACTGTTTTTAAGCTATTGAAAAGTTTTGAGCGATTTTTTAGGAAACAATGTTCTTAACGTCCTTTATACCATTTGAGTTCTTAAGATTTTGCAAAGGGAAGTTGGTTAATTTATTTATTAGGATAATTCATATTTGTATTAAGGGATATAGCTTATTTCATTGTAATGTTTTCTCTTGAAAATATAAGATAAAATATCATTAATTATACTTTGCTTTTCAGAATTTTGGTTTTTTGTATTCTTTTATGTTATTTATTGCACATTTCACTGTTTTTAAGCTATTGAAAAGTTTTGAGCGTTTTTTTAGGAAACAATGTTCTTCGTCCTTTATACCATTTGAGTTCTTAAGATTTTGCAAAGGGAAGTTGGTTAATTTTTTTATTAGGATAATTAATATTGTATTAAGGATATAGCTTTATTTCATGTATTTTTTTCTCTTGAAAATATAGATAAAATATCATTAATTATACTTTGCTTTTCAGAAATTTTTTGTTTTTTGTATTCTTTTATGTTATTTTATTGCTCATTTCACTGTTTTTAAGATATGAAAAGTTTTGAGCGTTTTTTTTAGGAAACAATGTTCTTAACGTCCTTTATACATTTGAGTTCTTAAGATTTTGCAAAAGGGAAGTTGGTTAATTAATTTATTTATTAGGATTATAATTCATATTTGTATTAAGGGATATTGCTTATTTCATTGTATTTTTGTTATACGTAATAACTTTTTTTTTATGAAGTTGTTCTGCAGAGTAAAATTCTACGCAGTTTTTAAATTTAACGTTTGGTGTTCCCTTCAGCCATTTTCCCGGTACATTTAAAAGCCAGACGAAGGCTGGCAGCGAAGATGCTAGTATAAAATATTTTTGTAGCATAGCTTGATAGAAGAATATTTAAAATATTTACTGTCTTTTGTGCAAAATGCTTAGCTTAAGATCCTCATAACATTCTTCTAACCATTAAAAAAAGGACTATGTGATCCGGAAGTTGATTAATTATTGCATATAAGTCACAGTAGATCTTTAATTATCAAAAATAAACATGTTAAATTAAAAAACTGCAAGTATATTTACTAGTGCAAATCAGTGGGAATTAGCCTAACATTAATAATATTTTTATATCATATTATTTTTATACTTCCTAATGGCAACAGGATTATGAATGAAATAGTGCTCTGTGTTTCTGCTATTTACATTCCTCAGATACCTTCGCAAAAAATAAAGGGAAAAAAAAACCCATAGCTTATGTAATGATAAAGGTGTTAAAATTTAGCTCCTTTTTAAAATTCAGCCTGGAGAGTAGGCTCTCTGGAGTACCATTTATAATTCATTTGCACATTTCAATGTTCCTTGTCAGTTGCGCAAAGAGAAGTTATTATGGCTGCCACTAAATTTTTAACTTTCGTTTATCCATAAACTAAGCGGAACAGTTCGCACTTCACTTCCTCTGAGGTGGGCGGTTTCAAACGATGAATTCTGGTGATTTATTGAGCGGAAGGTCGTAAAACAGTTTTCGCGGTCTCTTAGTCTAAGTCAATAGCGTGGAAAAGGAAGTTAGAATGATAAATGTCGTAATAACTTAAATACATTCGCCAAGTGTGTCAGATCCATGTACAGCAAAAACAGGTTTTTTTTTGTACTGATGTTTAAATGCAAATATAGGCAACGGCCTAAAAATGTACTAATTCAAACTGTTCTTCATAAAATGGAATTTGTGTATTTGCAGTGACTTTTATGAAGCCCGAGAAATAAAATATTCTTCACTAGAATTCAAACTATGGATCTTCCTTTTACCGCACGGATATGCTAATCCCTTACACCAAGACAGAATGCTTGGAGGAGTAAGGTAATTCCTTACATTCTCTCTCACTTAAAGTGCGACCGGATAAAAACACGAAACTCACCCAACGAAATCCACACTGTGAAAAATTATCGCCAAACACATGTTTTCGTTCGGACGCCGCAGTGGAAAAATTTTATACTTTTTTGGAGTCTTGACAGATCAGCTGTACCCTTGCCGAAATCTGAATTATGGATTCTCCACATCCTAACTGGTCTGGCTAATACCACAGAAGTAAGCAAGAAAAAATGCGATAAATTATTACAAAAGTTAATATTAAAAGTAAAGAAGTTAAACATAAAGCTTAACACAAAAGCACTATATTTCTGAATACAATTTCACTGGAACTCAGTCTAAATTTACACAAATTTTAATAAGTTGGAATTTTAATAACAACTAGACTGAATTCCAATGAAATTTAAGTCAGTTATAATTTCTTGCTTATCCTAATATTTAAGTTAAACATTTTAATTTATTTATTATTGTTATTTCTTATTTGAATTACTTTTTTTAATCTTGTTTTATAAAATTCTCCTGATTTTTCCTAATTTTTTAAATTCTAAACTAAATCATTACTTGTTCAGTGAATAATATTGTTAAACTATACTAATTCGTCACAGATTCGATTCTCGGTGTCTGCAGGGTGTGAAAGTTTAGTAGTTTTCGCATATGTAACACGAATATCAGTTTCCTTTGAAAAGTTTTCCAAAGAATTTTTCCCATAATACAACTCTCCAGTGCGATGTAAAAATGTAAGTAATGAAATTTAATTCTTCATTACAGTTATTTTAACTTTCAATAATAACATGTATTAAACTAGCTTCTTATATGTTGAATTATTGTTCAACATAATTAATTGTAGATATCTGTTTGAGTTAGTCTTTAAAATTTGAAGGCAACAATATGACGATAATTTGAATAATTATTTCCGTGATGGCTTATTTAAAATATTACTTTGGGAAAGAAAAACACTTAATGATATTATTTTGATTACATTGGGAAAGTAAATTAAAATAATATTACATTGGGACAAAAAATTCAGATTTGAACTATCGTGAAACATCAGTCACTTTTCAAAAGTACCAGCAATTTTCACGCATAATAACATAATTCTTCCTTTTAACAGCACTCACTTCTTCCTTCTACGTATGTGTAAGAAGCTTCTGATTTATGGAATATATACCGAATCGTATTGCTAAGTATGACATAATGGTAATTTAAAAAATTTTTTTGTTGAAACGTTGCTATCATCATAATCATCTTCTCTTTCGCAGGTTAGGTTATTTCAACTCGGCTAAGCCCACGAGGGCTATCTGTCTAAGAGATGGATGCCTTCATAAAGGACTTTCTAAGAGAAGTTGTGTCGTATTCACCAGAACTAATCATTCAGCCAGTCCGTTCGCCTGGGTTCCAGCCGAGACGAATTACCAGAATTCAGTAGCCACTTGGCCACTGGTGCAACCAAATAGATTAGAAGATGTGTCGTATAACCTACATTATCAAACTGACATATGAGGCTTCTTCTGCGAATTTAAAAAATACGCATAAGAAGGAAGTCACTTAGAGTTAAACGAAATGAGAAACTACACCATAATTAAAATGCGTTTAAAACTCTTGTAGAATTTTCTTTTGTTAAAATAACAGCATTTAAAACTTTGATATGGAGCTCAGCCAAAACTCAACATTCTCCTGGAGTGATTTGCTGTGTACACGAAAACGAAAACTATTCTTTATCTGGATAAACATTTGTCATATCTCGGGCAATGATGTATTTTTAGTACGGTATTTAAATCCTAATTCGTACACTTAGAAAGACTGATGACTGAGAAATTGTTTTCGAGGGACATTTCTTGTCGTGCCTCATTAGTTTTCTCCTTTACTTGCAGAAACCAACCTAGAAAAACAAACATAAAACTTCGCCTAAAAGGTGGCATATTAATCATTACCGTTTCAAAACTGTCACAATAACCCTGAAGCAGGCATACCAAATGACTATAATTAAGGTTCCTTTTACTCACCTATAGCCAAGAGAACTTTGACATCTTTGTTCTTGTTCTTAATTTCCACCAGCCTCTCGTACATGCCCTTCTTGCCGTTCTTGGTTTCGTCCGTTGCGTCGAAAGAGGATACCTTGTGTTTCTTCATCCAGCCAAAAGCGAATATGAGATGGGTGCATAGGTGAGGTTCTATGTCTTCTGGAACGTATTTACCTTCGTTTGGCCGATATTGTGCCCAGTTGGTGAAATAGCAAACTATTTTCTTGTTGTTCGTGCTCTTAGAACCTGGGAAGAGATGAAAATATTTAATCTTTCGTGGATGGTAATCGAATTGAAGCGCTGCTTTCGGAAGAGGTGTTTAACAATCCACATGTGATTACATTTTTTATTTAATCATTGGAAATACGTATACTTATAAGGATAGGTATATGACATTTAAGCAAATAATAACAACAGTTAAATGCAGCATAACGTTTACAGATGTACTGGCGTAGTCAAAGAGTACCTGTGTTACTATTATGAACAATACAAGCAGGAATATTTCTCCTGCACAGCACTATCAAGAGTAAAATTATTAAAATACAATATATATAATATAAAAAATCTGAAATGTTTCAGATTTTAAATTGCGTCCAAAAGGGCGTTTTTTAACATTTTGTGTGTTACCTTTCTTTATTAAATATCATGTTCCTCGCACTTAAACCATAAGATCCAGTGCAACAGCAATATCGCAAAATAGTTTTAAAAAAACGAGCATATCTTTAGAATTTCCGATACAGAACTCCGCGCTGGAGATAAAAATTTTTTTCTACACAACGTTGCCATTGCTCGCTTTGAAATCCTTGAGTTTGTTAATCAAAAATTCGTCAAAGTTTTAAAAAATAGGAAATCGATCATAAAACAAATTTCAAATTTCAAATTTGGTCTTCCACATGCTCATATTCGTTGGAGGATTACGTTATGCAAAATTCGATGACTCTATGTACCGTTATTTTATGACAATGTGAGAAATATACATACATTTACGCAGATTTTTCATTATTTAATTTCTTCAAATATAATGCAGGACTCTAACATTTTATGGCAACAGTTTGAAAAGTGAACCGACATTTATCCGTCCGACGCAAAATGCCAAAACGAAACTAATAGTTCTTCGGGATTCAAATCCCTTTGGACTAAAAAGAAATCTTAAGAAATTATCTCATTTATTTCACTTCAAACAAGGGAACAAAATCTGTGACGTTCTAAATTTTTACTGTTTTAGTCAAATAATTTTAATTTTCTGTCATCTGGTTTTACAGCTCAGTCAACAAAATAAAGCAAAAAATAAATAGTCGACAAAATAAACAAAATAGTCAACAATATAAATGATGGTATTCTGCTATCACATAGCATGATAAAAACATAATTAATTAAATACGCTAAAAAGCATTAAGGAATTATCTCATGCAGTTCTTTTCCGAAAAGTAAATAGTATTCACGGAATTTTAATTTTTACTACTTTCAACAGCAAGTTTTTCTTCTTTCAACAGAAAGTTTACGAAGAAAATTCTTTGTAATGGCTTCGTTTATTTCAACAAAATAATCAACAAAATAAATATAGGAATTTTTCTATTACATAGCATGATAAAGCGTCACAATTTAAAAATACGCGAAGAAACATAAAGGAATTACCTAATGTACTTTATTCCATATAAGTGAATAATGCACTGTCCATTAAAATTGTAACACCGGGAAGGAATGATCTGCCGAACATCAAAATCACATGAAAGGAAGAAGTATGCAAATGATTAGTATTTTAGTGCGTTTAGACGACGCAGGGGGGGGGGAAACGACTTCTGAAGCACTACATAAAAGAAAAGTTTGTGTAGTGGATTTCTCATTTGGAAAGTGCTTTGTAAGGTTGGAGTTTTCTCAAAATATCGTGTTATGCCTCAAATGAGAAGAGAAAATGCTTACCAACAAGTTACGAAATTCGATACAGTATCGTTGATTATCGAAAGTGTAGATTATCGCTCCGTGATATCTCCGGGCGCACTGGTCGACATTCAACCACTGTCATGCGAATAAGAATTAAATAAATTGCTGAGGGTCATACTGAACGGCATGCAGGATCTCAACGCTCTCCCATGACTACTGTCAGAGGGAACAGACATATTGCGAAGACAGCCCTCCAGAATCGTACGACCAGATCACGGACCATTAGTCAGGAAATGGGCATGTTTGCTGCACGTCCAGTATCAGCTAGTAAGGTGCGTCGGCGTTTGCAGCAGCGTGGACTATTAGCAGGGTGACCATTACTTCGGCTTCCCTTGACAATGCAGCATAGAGAAAAAATGAATTAAAAGTGTTTTTACATGTCAAAATGTTAAACCATGTTATGTTAACATGTTAAGAAATGTTAAGGCATGTTATGTTAACATGTTAAAATATGTTAAGACATGTTATGTTAACATGTTAACAAATGTTAAGACATGTTATGTTAACATGTTAAAAATTTTACAGTGTTGCCCCTGTTCGCTTTGAAATGAGTTTCTTAATAAAAAATTCATTAAAGGTTTACAAAATATGGAAGAGATAATAAAACAAACTCGAAATTCAAAATTCTGGCTTCCAGGTACATGTGTTTGGATGGAAGACTACGTTATTCAAAATATGATATTTCTAGATACCGTTGTTTTTCACAATACGATAAACATGCACATTCCTTGTTATCTAATTTCTTTAAATATGATACAGAGCGATAATATTTGGTGGCAACAATTTGAAAAGTAATACGCCATTTATAATGATTCAACGTAAAATGTCGTTTCGAGAAAAATATTCTGGTCGGGACTAATTTCCTTTCTGGGCTAATAATATAAATAACATTGAAAATTCATGTTAAATGAAAGAAAATCTAATGATGCAACGGACTAAAAAATTGTTTGTTATGTGTGATAACCGAAATTTGTTTTAACTGATAAGACTTCCTGTAATATTTAGTGTATATGGCAGCCGGGAACGAAATGTTGCTCATGTTAATCGAGTGTTTGTCTTTAACGAGTTCGAGTTAAGGGAGTTTTATCGTAGTTAAAAGTTTCTGAAAAATCAGGAATGCTTTTGCCAAATTTTTTATCTTATCTTCTGCTATTTAAAACTTTTTTTAATTGTTTCAGGAAAATGGCACAACACATGGAGATTAAGATCTTAAGGAAATTTTGTATTCTTTTCTCGCGGTAAAATGTGCCATGCATACAGCGCTTCCCATAAAAGGAAGGAAGAATTATATATGTCTTGAAAAGACTGGGTTTCACATTTATATTCAACTGTTTTACCAAATTATTCATGGCTGATGAATTACGGATGAAAATGAGAGACAGGTTCGAGATAGTATACTAGAAAATACTTTACTGCATGTTTAGTGATTTAATATTTCAGTTTGAGACCGATTCTTTAAAAGTTAATTTTCATTTTATTTAAAATTTTTTTTGATGCCTCAAAAAAGCCTAAGAACTGAGCTAAAATCAGAGCATTCTGAAGTAATTACATACATTAAATCTGTAATTGATATATTGTTTCAACAAAATAAGAATCAATCGGAAAAAACTCTTCAGCATTACACTAAATGTTTTCCTTTTTATCTCTTTTTTAAACAGAATATTTAAAAATGGTTGAAGTAAAAATTGTTTTAAAAATGCAAAGTTTAGCTTTTGTGTACATTTTAGCTTAGCTTTCGATGAAATAAAGGCGGCAGAATTTTGCAAATGTATGTTTTTAAGAAATTAAATTACAAATATTCATGATGGTGTGAAGTTTCTGGTACCAATGAATGACACTTTAAAATACTTCTAATACTTTTCATTTTTCATTGCTATTTTTAAAATAGAGTTTTGAAGTTAAAAAAATGTTTTTAAGCTTATTAATTTTTTTTAATTTTCAACATATTATTATTTATTGCTTGAGATATTGTTTTAACTAGTAATTGTTCTTCGGATAAAAACAAAGAATTTAACCCACTGTCTTGACTAACAAACTGTAAACGTTTCAATGTGAAGCTTGTTTTCGGTGTACTCTTCTAATAACACCCCATATTACATAACAACAGTCACAAAACAGTATTTGAAAGGAGATTCTTTCAAGGAAATACTTAACTTCACTCATTTTATTTATTTAAAAAAAAGCAATTTCTTTCATTTATAGACGTTGCTAATTTGAATATTATCATTTGAAGAATCAAACTGTTAACACACACAAAAAAAAATCCAGTTGGATATATATATATATATACAGTATGCTGCAATATTACAAATGTGTTGTGAAACTCCTTACAGTAGCAACTGACATGTGAGATTCTACATGTGCGTAAAGTCATTGAAAGTTGTTCCTTATCGCACAGTATTGCGCAAGATTTACTCAATTCGCTGTAAACACTTTGTTGAGCACTGAATTTATTATCCGCAATATCCAGGCATTACGTGATGGCTTTTTCAAGTGCCAGGTCCTGGCTTTCGGCCAATGAAATTAAAAGCGATCTGCATGTCCTTCTTGGCCGCAGAAACAAAGTGAAGACGCCTTGCGTCGGAAATGGTGCAGGTAACTCTGGGGGGGGGTAGCGACTCGTCAGGAACTGGGGGAGACTCGAACGGTGGAAATATTAATGTCTAAGTTTACCTTTCGTAAAACAGGATATATCTTCAATCCGATATCTGCCTCCGTCCATTTCTTTTGCCATTCCTGTAGTAAATTATTGAAGGTGTATCTTTTATTTTTGTCTCTATAGTATTTAAAGTGTGCGATCTTGGGGAATTAGTTGGTCGCTCAAGAAGATCTGTGATGTTTCCAGCGTCTTTAGCTGGTAAATCAACTCTCTCATTACCAGTGATCCATTCGTAGGCGGAGACCCATCTCATGATTGGTCTTTGACAGAGGAAGGGAGTGCTAGGAGCTGCTTCTGTATTCGCAGCACCAGTGGGTTTCAGCAATTTCTTTTATCTCACTATCTCTTCTAAAATGGAAACAGAGTAGCTGAAAATTATGGCTTTCGTCGCTGTGAGTTTGAGAGGCATTTTATTGTCTCATTTATCGCTCTGCCTAAAATATAGAGTTATTTTGTCCGAACTTCCATTTCCAGGCATAACATGAAGTTTCATTGTCAACTCGACAGAAGGCACATTTGCGTCACAACTCTTCAGACATCCGTGAACAGCTGTGTTTCATTTGCAATCGGTGGACTTTCATTAATGTACACATTGTTAATGAAACTGAAATCTGTTGGATGATAATGCTTGTGTACTCTTTGTGTTTCATAATCGAGGTGCAGATAGGTGCGGCTATTATTTGTAAAGATTATACTGTCAGTTGTGACCTGAATTTTTATATCTTGTAGGTAAGATAGTAGTAATATAATCTTTGCAGTGAGGCAGGATAGCAGTAATGTAATTATTGGAGTGAGGCTTTGGTTTCTAGAATGGCAATTCTAGAACGGGAAGGTACTAGTACGCCACTGAGATGGCTTCCGACCACAAAGGTAAGGTCGGCGTCCTGCCACGCACGTGCTACACCCACAGGGAAGACCACAGTATTCGCAAAGTCATTTTAAGGGAAGCTAATTCCATCAAGTTGGCCTTGGTGTTCGCCGCATGTCTGTGACGCATCGCACTGCAAATGTAGCAGACATTCGAGCTTTTGTGCACCACAGTGACAGGTACACCGGACGAAGGACCTCCGTCCCAGGTCCTCATTATGTGGGACCCATTCAGAGTTTGTGGTAGCCCCCATCCGTGGGACCTCGTTCTCGCGGGCGCAACCCCCGCAGTCCCCGCCCGGCTTTTACAAGCATTGGGCAGTACATTAACGTTGCAAAAGAATAACGTTGTCACCTTGCCGCCGCGTACCATTCCATTGGCAAAAGCACATTATAAAAGGTGCACTGTCCGCATTGTCAATCCCCGCCACGAGAACTGAATGGGGTCAAACCCCCGGGAACTTAGTCGACAAAATGTACTATATAGCTCCACCACAGCCGGAGGAACAGACACGACAGTACCAGTACGGTCTCTGCCAAGCCTGAACCAACCTGAGTACAATACTCGGGCTCTAGTCCTCAAAGATTCAAATTAAGTCAAATTAGATACCCCCGTGGTTGAGACTGCCTAGGTAGCACCACAGTGACACAACTGTAACAAATCGATTATTTGAGAGACAGCTCCACAATAGAAGCCCTCTAGCGGCCATACCCTTAACATCAAATCACCGCCATCTGCGACGCCACAATGTTAAATGTCGCCATCTGCGACATATTTAACATTCATATTAATATTCATATTCATATTTAACATTGTGGCGACTACAGCGGCTATTAATGTACCACCATTTCATATTTAAAATGCATCTTCTCGCGCATACTTTAAGGAAGACGAAGCGTTCTCAGCCGAAAGGCGTTTTTGTTTTGGAACCAGTAATGATTGTATGGTGGTTAGAATCAGGTGAGATGAGTGCTTAGAACAAAGCTATCTATGGTGTAGACACATCGGACCTACATCAGGAGTTAATGACTCCTTGTCTTTCTTCTATACACCTTCACAGACAAATTTATATGTTAGACTGGTGACTGAACCGGTTGTGTCACCATTTTTGTGCAATATACCAGGGCATTTTGCAGCGGCATAACGTTAGCTTCAATATCGCTGCTTTTACCTTAAATACTCCCCAGTATGTCGATATGTTGCCTTGACTTGCGATATCACCCGTTCTTTCTCTCATCGAGCACGTATGAGCGAAAAGCCAGCGTCATCCACAACCAATACGGAACGTTGCATAATTGACTGAGTAAGTGCATCAGGCGAGGAATTCCAAACCATAAAATGATATACGGCATCTGCAAGATATAATGTATGCACATTTGCATGCATTCAACATTGTGGCGACTACAGCGGTTATTAATGTACCGCCATTTCATATATGAAATGCTTCTTCTCGCGCACATTTTACTGTGACTTCGAAACATTAATCAAATAAAATGTTACCTAAATGGTTTGCCTATGTTTCAGTCCTCTAGACGGATTTCTTCTTGGAGTTGGGATTTCATTTTCCATTAGCGTAACTCCATCTCTGGGAATCAATCAAAATAACTTCAAGCATACTTTAAACAGCATTTAATCTACCCTGGGTGCAGTTTTTCTCAATATTATTTATCTCACTGCATTTCAAGAAGGAGTACTAGATGAAAATTATCAAACAGGCATGTCATCCTCGGATGGATTATCATTCGAGGTTTGCGTTTTGGGGTCTCATCAGCATCTAATCATTGAGAAGACTAACAAGGATTATCAAGTCAAACCCATCTTTAGTCCTATATTATACTTCTAATGGAAAACGGTACCTTTAAGTTTTCGTAAAAGCACAGAAGCACAAATTTCTATGTGACACGTTAAATGTTTTTCAGTGAATTAACTTGAACCCATTTATGATGTTTCTTAACTTTTTCAAGCGCTGTCGAATAGCGTACACTCAGTTTCTCTTTTAGATCCTTTAGAGTTTGACAAGAGTGAAACTTCATTAGCATACCAGTTCGTTATTGCCAATGGTGTTGTTGAATTTCCATACTTCTCACTTTCAGGTATCCTGTTGGTGGATCTAAATATCTCTAATAATCGCTATGTGGTTCATTCATGTACGATGTCAGCTCCAAATGTCTATTGAAATCTCCAAAATCTGTCATCGTGTTGTAGTAGTCAAGCTGAATCCGTAAAATAAGGTACCCATTTTTGCCTCATTTTCAACATTTGTCCGTCGGATCATAATCATCCAAGAACTCAAATGGTACCATTAGCACATGTAAGATGTAAGATTAATGTACTATATACAGGTATAATGTAGAACACATTCGTTTCAGTTTAGAACGAAATTTAAATGAAATAACTCTGAATACATCTTTTGTACAAAATTCATCGTTTGCTAATGGCATCATGAAAACTGCACTCATATGGTTTTTGCATGCAGACGATACATTTTTTAAAAAACTATGTGAAGTCCTTTAAACAGCGAAAACTGGATTAATCTACTTTTTAATGTAAATAACCATCTCTTAGAACTTGATTTCGGAGTCAGACTATTTTGCCAAAATTTACAGCTAATAATCAGTTTATGCTTCAAATAAATATTTTAATTTGATTACAAACAATAAATTGCTGCAATTCATATAGCTTCGTAATCACTGTTACTCGCATTTGAAATTTAAACTGAAATAATGTATTTAATAACATACTGTTATTTACAATTTTTAAAACAAAAACGGATCAAAGCAACTATTGTATTAAAATAACTTCAGTATATTTCACCACCATGTTTGTTTACTTTGGTGATGCATTCGAAAGCTTGTTTAGAACAACTTATTCTAACTTGGTGTATACATTTGTATATTTATAAAAACAAATAAATAAATAACTTACTAGTAAGCCGACTTCCTTCCGTCACAAAGCATAATGCTACCAGGAAAGCTGCTACAACCGTTAACGTTCCCTGCAGAGAAAGAAAAATAGTTTTAGTAAAATGCAGATAAAGGAATTTTATTGATTATTTTCAGTTCAAAAAACTTTCGAATTGAGAAAAGAAAATTACATGCATAATCGATATTTTCAGGAATAATTTTCTTCAGCGACATGAAATACAATTACATTTTTTTTTTTCAAGACGATCTTAGGAATGCGAAGAACAATTTTATGCAAATGAAATACTGATGCCTCTCACAAAGTATTTAAAAATATTCCCCTCCAAAACCGAAAGAATTTTATTTATTTATTTATTTACTTTAATTTAAGTATGTGAATAGCTCCTAGATGAAAATATAAATTTTAACAAAACATATGGGTTCTTATTTTATTTATTTACTGAATTTCAATTAAAAATATTCCAGAAAGCAATTTCGTATCGCTCTAAAATTGTTCTGTAACTGCTTTAGAATTCAGAGAAGAAAAGCTAATCAATATATCAGCTGTTTAAGGAATATCTTAAAAAAATATTTAACTTACGTCTCAGCTACATTTAGAATTAATTTTTTGTGTAACAAATAGCCTGAAATTAGATTTTATGGAAGATTAATAAACGGAAAATAATTAAATTCAACAAATTCATTCATTTCTTATGAAATTTCAAATTCACAGTAAAAATACATCAAAAGTGTAATTTTAGAATTTAACTGAAGCACAAAATGGTAAATAAAATTAGCCACGGTTATTCATTTTATTTTTTTAATTCGTAAAAACAAAACCTTTGGGAAAACTTATTTCTAACATTTAGAAGTTTTAATGTTAATTAAAAAAACAATCTTAGCCAGTTCCTATGTAATATATTCCACAGCATAATAGAATTATGATAAAAATGTTTCCTAGTAATAACTATTCTGAATTTGAAGCGAAAATATAAGGATAATCTACCGGCGTAAAAATTACTTTTATAAAAATAATGAGTTTTATTCGGAAAATTGAATACTTCGTATATAAGATTTTAGTTTATTTTAATCCGCAACACAAAATCTATAGTAAGTATTCGAAATCTCTTCACTAATATGAAAAGTATATGGACAAATGAAAAACGCAGTGAACAAGTGAAAAGTGAATACCAAACTCAACGATTACAAAGCAAGCAATAGTAACAATGTACGAAACAGAAACACATTTTATCTCCAGCGCGTCAGACTGTCTATCGGAAATTCTGAAGATATACTGCTTGTAAATATTTTTAGCCCAAAGGGATATTAGCTCAAATGCTCTCGAAACATAGATGTATGCGTAAATGAAAAAAAGCCCTTTTTGGGCGTATAATAATATCTGAAAGCTTTCGGACTTATTTATTTATTTATTATTTTGCCCAAGCGTTATTTATTTTATTCAATTAATTTTAGCTTTCGAATTATTAGAACAAGAAATTTCAATTTCAAACTTGGACGGGGCTACAAAATGCCTATAACATTCGGTCAAATCGCAACCAAGCACTGGCATTCCAATGAATTTGAGGTAAACAAACGAGCAGGCCTCTTCAGTAAGTCGTAACATGCGCTACTTCCGAGCCATTTTGTCGACGTGGTCTAAGGTAAAGACTTAATACGAAACCAAAGCCTCTTAAAAGCTAAAAGCATCTTGATATGAAAGAATGGTTGAAAAATTGAGATTAAGTAGAACTGCGTAAAACTGTGAGATTATATATACCTAGCCTCACGCAAATATTTTTAGCCCAAAGGTCGTCAGCCCAGAAATTTTTAGCCCAATTGCGTTTTGGCATTTTGTGTCGATTCACTTTTCGCGTTGATTCACTTTTCAAACTGTTGCCACCAACTATCAAAGCCCTGTATTATATTTAAAGAAATTAAATAATGAAGAATCTACGTAAATGTATGTATGTTTCTTGCATTGGCATAAAACAACGGTACCTAGAGCCATCCAATTTTGAATAACGTAATTCTCCAACGAGTACGGGCATCTGGAAGCCATAATTTGGAATTTGTTTTATTATCTACGTCATATTTTTTCAGGCATTAAAGAATTTTTGATTAAGAAATCGAACAATTTCAAAGCGAGAAATGGCAACACCGTACTAAGAAATAACATTTTTATTTCCAGCGCGCGAGACTGTGTGTCGGAAATTCTAAAGATACGCTCATTTTAAAATTAATTTGCGTTACTGCTGTCGAAGTGAATTTTATGGTTTAAGTGCTAAGAACATGATATTTAATAAATAAAGGTAACACATAAAACGTTAAAAATACGCCCTTTTGGACGTAATGTAAAACCTGTAAGCTTTCAGATTATTTTCATTTATTTTTTGTAACCAATAAATTAATGAATTCATAGAATTTTGAACATTAGTGAGGTTTCTAATATTCTCTTCAATTTTTGATGTTGGTTTACTGTGAACAGAGATCAAAAACGCACTGAAACTATTATCATGTAGTATCATGGAAGACAACGTCAAAAAGTAAAGAAGATAGTAACTAAAGATTCACGTAAAGAACGCCTTCCTTGAGCGGATTACATTCGTTATTTAGACACCACTGTATGTATAATATGATTTATTAATTAAAAAATTAATAAAAAATTATTCTGGTTCACCGAATTATGAATAAGTGCTGTGTATGCAGTTAATAATCACAAACGTAATAATGATTCGAAAAGGATTACGTAAAATTTCTGCAGTATCGGGACACAAGCAATAAGCAATCGTGCAGCTAAGTTTGGAGAGACAGTTTAAATTACGATTATTATCTTCACCTTTTCCTTTTTCCTTGCGATTTTACGGATTTCAAATCCTAATTTTCGTAAACTGAGTATGACCTCATTACTAACATAGTAGATGCAAAGCAATTATTCAACTGAATCTAATTTCGTTCTTGAACTAAATCGATCACTTGTGAGATAGGTCCCGTGACCAGTAAACATAATGATCACGTGATTAGTTATGGAACGATTAAGCAGGACGAAAATTCATCTTTCTAACTACTGAACTTAGGTATATTTACCTTCGCGTGATTATTATAATGACAAGTGGTTTCAAAAGGGAAACATTCATTCACAGAATTCATGAAATTTACGTATGGTTTTGTTAGGCAATTGTTAAAATTTTTATGCAAGATTTAATTAAAGTCTAGATTCTGGATTTATACGATGTTACGCTACTTCTTTAAGGACTATTAATTTCGTTTTGGCATTTTGCTTCGATTCACGATAAGCGTTGTTTCATTTTTCAAACAGTTGCCACCAAATATTATCGCCCTATATTATATTTAAAGAAATTAAATAATGAAGAATCATCTGCATAAATGTATGTATGTTTCTCGCATTGTGAAAAAACAACGGTACCTAAAGCCATCAAAATTTGAATAACGTAATCGTCCATAGAATATGAGCATATGGAAGCCCTAATTTGAATTTGAACTTTGTTTTATTATTGATTTCATATTTTGTTAAACTTCAACGAATTTTTTATTAACAAATTCAACGATTTTAAAGCGAGCAATGGCAACAGTGTATTGGAAAAAATACATTTTTACACTCGTGCGAGGCTCTGTATCGGAAATTCTAAAGATATTCTTATTTTAAAATTATTTTGAGATATTGTTGTTGAACTGAATTTTATAAGTGCGAAGAACATGATATTTAATAAATAAAGATAACACACAAAATGTTTTAAAAAAAACCGTCCCTTTAGATGCAATTTTAAATCTGAAACCTTTCAGATTTTTAATTTTTATAGAAAATAACATGGAACAATAGAAATATATAAATATTCTTTATGAAAATTTGAAAGCATTTGCGAGAAAAGAAATATAAAAATATGAAAGGTTTCCGATTTTAAATTACGTCCAAAGGGGCGTTTTTTTAACATTTTGTCTGTTACCTTTATTTATTAAATATCACGTTCTTCGCACATAAACGATAAAATTCAGCTCAGGAGCAGTATCGCAAAATAGTTTTCAATTGAGCATATCTTCAGAATTTCCGATACAGAATCTCGCGCGCTGGATATAAAAATGTTTTTTCTATACAACGTTGCCATTGCCTGCTTTGAAATCCTCGAGTTTGTTAATCAAAAAATTCGTTAAAGTTTTACAAAATATGAAATCGATATTAAAACGAATTCCAAATTTCAGATTAGGGCTTCCACATGCCCATATTCGCAGTAGGATTACATCATTCAAAATTCGATGGCTCTGTGTACCGTTGTTTTATCACAATGCAAGAAATATACATACATTTATGCAGATTTTTCATTATTTAATTTCTTCATATATAATTCAGGACTCTAATATTTGGTGGTAACAGTTTGAAAGGTGACAGTTTATAATGATTCAACGTAAAATCGCAAAAACGAAAAGAATAGTCCTTCAGGGAAAAAGCCCCTTTGGACTAAAACCTTGGACTGCAAAATACATTCAAGTTCTATCATGATAACGTGCATCAGATATGCAGCCCTAAATGTTAGCTTTTGGTTACGATACAGCTGTCTTGAAGTTTCCGAAGCCTTTTTTTTAATTATTCATTCTTGTTGCTATTATTCATCCTTTTATAAGAATATTCAATACAACAAGTTCTAGGAATTCAATAAATTTCAGAGAATTAGGACTCTTGAAGAAGAAAAACATCAGATGGCTGTAGAATTTATATGCATCTAAAATTTTTGAAATGTACTTTGCCAGTAAAAAAACATTTAGAGCATTTTAATCTATGCTCTTTTTAAGTAGAAACATTGATAAAACAGTTAATGTTTAATTGTTCTGTAGATAAATGACTTCATAAATGACTAATCATGCGGCAAAATCATCACCGGTAGTCCCAATCAGTTACGCTAAGTACCCCCTCCTTTCCCCCAAAAAAGATAAAATGTAAAAATTAAGAAGTTAATCATAATAAGAAAAATGCGTTACTTCGAAACAAGGTACATTAAAAAAAAATATGTTATCCTTCTTAAAGAACACTTTTGTATTGTGAAAGTTGCATTTTTTTCTAACGCTTATTAAAATGTTAATT